AATAGGCATGTCCAAGGAAATAGGTCATTCAATTTTATCACAGAAACTTTGACAACGAATAAAGTGTTAGCTTGTTGGGTCCCAAAGCTTATGACCTCTGATGAAAAACGCACAACTTGTCTTATGATAATGTAGCTCCGTTTGAAGCTGACCCAGAAAGGTTCTTGCAACGATTTGTGACAATAAATGAAACCTGGGTTCACCAAATAACAATCAAAACAGCGGAAGCATTTGACATCATGACCGCCAACGAAGCCAAGGACTATACCATCAGCTGGAGAGGTGATGGTGTTCTGGAATGCTAAAGGTGTCATCGTGGGTATCATCGGGATCAAATTTGACTAGGAGACGTGGAAAGCTGAGGAAACCGTGCTCGTCCATGAGGACAACGGGCCAGTGCACAAATCAGTCAGTATGGCTTTAAACTCCTTCAGCTGCCAACAGAATCTCTTGACCTGGCAACGTGAGACTTCCGTCTGTTCCCAAACATGAAGAAAGTTCTTGGCGGAACCCAATTCGACTCGAACGATGACATCATCGCAGCCGCGGAGAAGGTCTTGGACAGCCGAAAGAAGGACTAAAATTCCTCCAAGATCGCTGGCAAAAGTATATCGATTTGCAAGGGACTATGTTGAAAATATGAACCAGTTCAGTGTCTGCAGTTCAAGTCTTTCTCTGTGATGCTCAAAACTTACCACTCACCTCTCCTTTACAAACCATTATCATCTGTATTGCTAGACCTAAGGGAAAAGTATAATTCTGGAAAGGCTAATGATCAATTACGTTCAAGGTTTCAACAATTAGGACAAGTTTCCAGCAGTTCAGAATGACTTCATGTTTCTTTCTAGTGTTAGGGGGCACGGGTGGCCCAGTCGTCTGAGGCGCCGCGATTCGCTGTGCAGAGTTGCGTCCCTTGGGCACGCCAGAAACCTATGATTGTTGGTTCGAATCCCGGTTCGACCCCGATTATGTTTCTAGGTTTGTCAGCACCATACCCGTGCTCGTGGGTTTCACCGAAGTGGTAAACGTCAGAGACCTGCATCACTTCGGGCTATCCTCCCACATTAAGCTGACACACCGTGATATAACTGGAATACTGTTAAAAGCGGCGTTAAACCCAACTCACTCACTCACTCACTCACTCACTTTTTCTAGTGTATATAGTTCCTTCGATTGTTTACATGCCGTCGCCATATGGCAGGAGTGTTACTAAATGTGGCGTTAGGCAACAAACACTTACCTTTCTGACTAAAATTGTGCGAGTGGTGGGTGCTGCCGGTAGAGCAGGACTACAGGATATTCATTTAAATCAGTTTCATTACTGTTTTGCCGTTTACGCTCTTTGGAATCTGTTTCGGCAGAAAGTCTATCATCTCTGGCGTTTAGGTTTTTAATTCACTGTATATGCTGACAATCATCTATCTGTATTTGTATCAGATTGTATACATGTAGGTACAAGCTAATACAGACTGATGTTGGCACTCGATTGCATTAAAGTCGGTCAATGTTCAGTATCTCTATTGCCCTTTCAATCTCATTACCTTTGTTTCGTGGATGTCATTCGAAGTCCAATATGACTTAAAGGATAATTGTTTTGTTTGTTTGTTGTTTAACACCACACACAGTAATTTTCCAGGTATGTGACGGCGAGTCTGGATCAGACATTCCAGTGATTGATATCATGAGCATGGAGTATGAGCATGTCTACGGAATTGGGATACGATGACATGCATCAAACAACTTTTGAAGGTAAATAATGGCAGTGCAACGATGGAGAGATGGTAGTATCTGTGACAGGGGCAAATAGTAGTGGTGCAATGATGGAGAGATGGTACCATCTGTGATAAAAGGAAAGGTTGATGATATAACGGTAGAGAGGTATTAACATCTGTGTTAAAGAGAAAGGTTGGTGGTATTTACGATTGATGATAAAGAGAGAAGTGAAATCGTTACAATAGTGAGTGAGTGAGTATGGTTTTACGCCGCTTTTAGCAATATTCCAGCAATATGACGGCGGGGGACACCAGAAATGGGCTTCACACATTGTACCCATGTGGGGAATCGAACCCGGGTGTTTGGCGTGACCAGCCAACGCTTTAACCACTAGGCTACCCCCACCGCCCAGCGTTACGACAGAGATGTGATAGCATATGTCCGAAAGGGGAAGGTTGGTAGTAGTACGATAGAGAGGTGACAGTGACAGAGGCAAAAGAGTGGTAGTATTAAGGTCATAAGCATGTGTTTATGAATCATGTGTTCAGAAAAGTCCACCACATGTCTATAAAACTTTTTGAAAGCTTTACTGAGGCCTTGAACGTTGTAACCTTGATCAAACAACAAAAAGGAAAGGTTTCTGGTAGTACGTTATAGAGGTGATAGCATCTGTGGCGGACCCAGAATGGATGATGAAGGAGGGTTTTTAGAGGGAAGATTAACATCGCGAATCGACAAAGACGTAAGGAGGCAATCCTTTAATTTAGTCTCGAGAGTTGAAATCCAATCAGTAGTTCGTTCAATATCCGCTGGACCCTTCACCACGTGGCCGCCAGTCCCTGTCACGCGATACCTCGTTCAACTTGTGAATAACCGAGATGTGATCATGTCCCACCAAACCCACCACCTTCAAATCCAAGAACACTTCGTCCCTCGTGGTAGCTGGTTTATGGATCTGTGAACACGTGTAAGCCAGAAACAAGCGTTGGGTATGTCTAAACAACGTGGGCTGCTCGCGGCTGACGACAATGAACTCCTACGGTTGCTCCTACGACTACCAAATTGATAATTACAACCGAGAACAAACACATTTCCCACTGAGGAGGATCAACTCGGAACTATCACTGACACACCATCAACACATGTTACCAGCACATGTTACCAACACATGTTACCAGCACATGTTACCAACACATGTTACCAACACATGAAAACTGACTTTCAAACGATGATGATGCATTGAGGTGAGGTGAAATTGGGTTTAACGTCGCGTCCAAGATTATTGCACTTATATAGCGACGTGCATGCACGTGTGTGTCTGTGGCTGCTTGTACTAGTCCGGACTGATGCCGATTTATAGTGCTAGCTCACTGAGATACCATGCCGCAGTTTAACATGAATACCCCACTCAGACACAGTATATTGACTCCGAGCCGACCAGTCCTTATTTTAGCCCCTTAATGTCGAGCGCCAGACAGGGTAACAACAAGTACCATCTTTTAACGTCTTTTGGTATGACGCGGCCGGGGATCGAACCCCGGACCTTCCGCTCTCCGGGCGGACGCTCTACCACAAGACCACGGAGGCGGCACGATGATGCATTGATTCGGAACCCATGCTGATTGGGATACGAGTAGTTTGGGATTACCATACATCAACGGTGATGCAAACACACACGGTTTAAAAGTAACCATTAGAAAATAAGGAGGATCCTGGAAAGCGGAACTAAAAACATACGTATATAAACACATTTCAGCTCGGGAATATCTACTTTCAAAAGATAGGCAAAATTAACGAGATAGTTCGCTTGAACTACAACGATTCCCTGTGATATTACGAAAACTGTTTTATTGTGAAACCTCGTTAGTGCGGACCTCGATAATCTCCATGTTCAGCTTTTGGACAATAATAGAGACATCATGACACTGATTCGATAATCTGGACAATTTTTACTCTGGACGGTGTAGTCCGGTTTAAATACATCTCACCGTATACGGATTTAAGAAACTGGAATAGATTTTCGTTCCAGAAATTGAGAAATATTCATTTCCTAAACGTGACAGTGACGGAATCGTACAGCGCACTTTGTTTTTTAACAGAATTATTATGATTATGGAATGTGTTTTATAGGTTTTAATTTAAAGGTATCTTAGTTAAGAACAGAATACGTGAGAAGGCAATGAGTGTGGCTTAACGCCGCTTTGAACAAAATTTCCAGGTTCACCATTATTATTGTTCAAGGTTAGTCAGCACCATACCCGTGCTCCTGGATGTCACCAAAGTGTAAACGTCTAAGACCTAGATCACTCTGGGCTTTCCCCCCACATCAACCTGCCACGTCGTGAAAAACTGAAGTACTGTTCAAAGCAGCAAGGCGGTCGGGTAGCCTAGTGGTTAAAGCGTTCGCACGTCACGCCGATGACCCGGGTTCGATTCCCGACATGGGTACAATGTGTGACGCCAATCTCTGGTGTCCCCCGCCGTGATATTGCTGGAATATTGCTAAAAGCGGCGTAAAACCAAACTCACTCACTCACTCACTCAAAGCAGCGTTGAACCAAACTCACTCACTAACCCCAATCCAATCCAATGTCATGAGTCAGTGACGCAAACAACCTCAATTTTGTTACCCTTCCGACATCGGCGAGGTACTGATGATTACATGCGCGTTCAGCCCCAGAACTCATAAGACTTGACAATTGTTGTGGAAATGGAGCTAACTGAGGGGGTGAATTGAGAAGGAGTGTGTGACAAATACGGGTAAAACACGAAGTGGCAATAAAATGAGGTATTGTTCGAGAAGCATGTGTTTCTTCACACCCGTCTGTGTCCGTGAAAGGAGAGCAGACTCAGCAGAGTGGGCACACCTTACGCCAATAAATAATCAATAACACTCATCCGAGCAGAAACCACAGAGGTCAAAGCAATCTAATATTTACTTAATTTCGTTCCAGAATAGTTGGGATTACCAGCAGTCCTATTTTTGTACAACTGTTCCGGAGATTATAACCTGACAATTACAGTAATAAGAGTGGGGTCTGACTTTTCATGCTTTAGCTGCGACGCAAAATATATATGACTCGTATGGATACTCAATTACTGTCGTAGTAAAATCCCCAAATCGTCGCTAGCTAATAAAGGTCTATTCTTTCACATTTCTACCTGAAAACAAACCACTCCCAAACACCTGACTGCAAATCTCAGTGAGTAGCTAAATAACCGGATAACTTAACATTCCAATAACCGAACTCCGCACGCACATATCTCCCACGTTCTAATACAGCGATGATAATTATTGTCCCACACGCTGTCGTCTGCGCTCTTTCATAGGCAGACGACACTTTGTGATTGGAAGAGAGGCCGTCAGAGAGCGTGCAGCGCGTGGTCATCTACTCTTCAGGATTGTAGAACCATTTCCTCAACCAAACGGTATTCTCGTCTGTCATGTCGTCTGCTCATGTTCTTTTGTTGGTCCTTCTAGCGGTATTACACGTGATTGCCCAGGTAAGTGTTCCCGTTGACCATATTCTTATTATAACTTGTATACAAATGGTGATAGATTAAACACGTATGACATTATAGGGAAGAACAGTTTTGGATGTCAACTCCTTTATTAAAAGGAACACAACGTTTCGTCAGGTGATGAAGGAGTAAGCATATACTCCAAAACGTTGTGTTCCTCATAATAAAGAAGTTGACATCCATAAATTCTCTTCCTTTTGTGTATCACTTCTAAATGCCTTTCAAGGACTTGACGTATGACATTGTTCGTTTTAGTTTACTTTTAAAGAAACAGTTATATCTCTCGCACAAAGGTTGCTTGATCAGGGTTTCAGTGTTCAAGACCTAAGCAAGACTTTCGAAAATTGTTGTGTGGTAGGCTTGTGGACAAAATGATATCCGATGACATGCCTATTTTCACTTGTACCGTGTTCTCGTGTTTGTTGAGGTGAACACTTGACTTGCCTTTATGTGTGTTTGGGACGGGTGTCATCGGTGGGGCAGGAAACGTTCTCCTCCTCGCAAACACCTTGCACCTGGAATCTTCACTTATTGATAATGATTCATAAACACGTGCTAATGATACAGTCGGAATCCTAAAACTGGCTCTGCTTTAAGAAGTGTTTTGTATGATTATTGAAATAATTTTGTCGCTATTAATTAAGTAAATACTTCGATGGTATGTCTTCATATCCATCTACCAATCGTGAATTATTTGCAGTGGTCTTGCATTTGTATGCTATTTTGTTTTTAAGAAAATGCAACCAATTCCCCCACCCCCAAATTAAGCAATTAATTCGATGGGATGTTTTCACTAAGAATAACCATCTACCAATCGTGACATTATTTTGTCCCCCCACCCCAAGAATTTCAACAACTAACTCTCAGCTATGGTGTTGTTTCTGGACAAATGACTTGGCTGGGTCTAGCTTGATATTCTTGTTCATACAAATATCCTTGCAAAGTTATTAACTGAGAATTACATGCAACTCAACGGGACATTGTTACCGAAACGGCCGTTCCTTCCATCTCTTTGTTTTGTGAAATATTGCAGTTGCATCAAGACCTTGTAACACTTCTAACATAAACGCCCACCTCATAACACGCGAACCTAATACCAGAAACAGCCATGGTGTCGCCCTCTGTTCTAAGATGTGTAACCTCTGAATAATCGTTCTATTAGAAGTTTGCGTGCGTCCACTGCATTAAAGTATGTAAGACGTTCACTTATATGACGAGAAACCTCCGAGCACACAAATCAGAGGTATTTTTCTTAAAGAAAGGACCGCAATGCTAATGCAATCAGACAAGCAATATCCGAAACTCTGATTGATAACCAGTGGTTGTCTTATTATTTCGCCACGGTTGTATAACTTAACGACCCCTGTTGGGATTTCTGTCCAAAGTGCCCCAGTCATCGCTGCGAGATCATTATATTCAGAAACATATGAAACTACAGGTTTAAAGGGGGCAGGCTTTAGCAAATGGGCAGGCCAAGCAAATTGGTTCAAGTCATTCAAATACCTCTTAGTTGTGTCTGCAGGCACATATGTATGGTGCGTCCATGGACAATGCCCAGTTGCACATGACACTTATTAAAGTGCCGAGACTAAGTCTTCAAATGGACTTCAGAATCTGGATCAGAGTCCCCCTTTAAGATGAAATTTGGATCAAGTGGAGTCCGGGTTTGAAATGGTTCCCAGCAACCCATGCTTGTCGTTGGAGGCGACTAATAGGATCGGGTGTTCAGGCTGGTGACTTGAAAGTGATTCGTTAGCATGCTTATGCTATGGTCGGAATCCTACAATGCACTCCGCTTTTAATGGAGATTTCTTATGATCATGGAAATATTTTTTGTTGCTTGTTTAATCATTACGAACATTATGACCTTTACTCAAACATCACGCTTAAGGTTAACCCTTCGGGGCCATAGCTCTCTGTTGCTTGTGGAAATCGGTTACTACTATAATATATTGGTGCTCAGGCTCGGTGTCTTAGTTGATAAAGTGTCATCCGACCCCGACGGCGTGGGACGTGGGACGTTGCCGACAATGAAGAATGTCACATCTACTTGCTCAACACCTGGATTATTGGACATTGTCCAGTTTCCACGTGGAACTTCTTCATGTATGATGGCCCCCAACCTCGTAGAAGGATACCGTAAACGCCTCATCAAGAATGCTGGAAAATCCCATCCAAACATTTTTGTAGTTGTTCAGCTGTCCATCCATGAAGACGCGTCAGCCCTTGTCCAGATTGTTCAACTGGAGTCGACAGTCGCATTGAGAGGTTGGGACTTGAGTATGTCATGTGTCATTGAATCTTAGTTTCGTTCTTGGGTGCAATAGGCCATGGTGGACAGTATGTACCGATGGACTCTGAACTATGTTATTATTACACGCAACTGTGAGATTGTGATCGCAATAAAAATTATTTACAGACCGCCGTCAAATAGCTGGAATATTGCTGAGTGCGGCGTTAAACAACAAACAAACAGTAAAACCCACGAGCACGGGTATGGTGCTGACAAACCTAGAAACTTTGATGATGTCAGTCGCTGGATTGTCTAGTCCAGGTTGGATTATTTACAGACCACCGTCATAAAGCTGGAATATTGCTGAGTGCGGCTTTAAACAACAATCAGACAAGGAAAAGTCAAACACACAATACCTGTTTCATAAAAAAATAAAAGTAGAGTGAGGCGTTAAACAACAAACAAACAATAAAATGTTTACTATGTTTTATCAACATGTATGTCATTATTTTTTGGACAGCAGACAAGCCTGTTAGACAACCAGTTGAATGGTTGAGTTATTGTGTTCAATGAGCCAATTAACGAAGCGTCTTATGAGCTGGGGGTTATCTCATAGAACAGCACAGCCTGACGGGGAATACAGGTTCTCAATAATGTCTTGGAACAACAGAGGGCTTGAGGGACGGGAGCTACAGGGTTGGAGCCCAATACTTCACCATCGAATAAACAGTTCTTGTTTGTTTAGTTTTCGGCCACCATCAAACATGAGTGTTTACTTTCTTTTGTCCCGCAGTTGATATGAAAATTGTAAAATTAATAATCGAGTCTGGGCCCGACAAACCATTATGGGTAGCACATTTGACCTCACGTGTTCGGTGACTTTTAAACAGGGCTGGTAATGTTTTGAGAACGTTTGTATTTTTTGGGGTGAAATCCAGTTTTCAAGTGTATACTCTCTTTTGCACGGGGGGTTATATTGAATATTGCTGTGTGCAGCCTTAAACAAACAAACAAAACAAAAAACTACAACCACATCGCCTCGCTGACAGCCTGGGCACGCACAAGTGATTATTACTAATGATGTAAAAATGAATAATACAGTTAACTGAACTTATAATTAAATGAAGTAGAGCAAGAGCGAAGTGTAGTTTCGTATCGAAATCTAGACATGAAACAATGTGAGTGAGTGAGTTGGGTTTAACTATCAACTCCTGGTTTGTCTGTGCCAGACTCGACTTTGAATATCTCGCGCGGAGGGCCACCAGAAACATGTCAGGAGGCAATATCCGTTTCACCCCATATTAGGCAACATGTGAAAGTAACTGGTGTGCAAATAGACGAACTATTTTCAATATGGCTGACCTGAATGGAAACAATAACAGTTATGTTTACCTGAAACGCTATAGTTTTGTTAAATTTATTTCTAAGGATTCATCGATTTTGAAAGCGGCCAGTAAATGTGTTGTGGGCTTGTGATGTAAGGCTCCACATCTCTCTGTTCAGTTGAGTCCCTTGGCCGTGTCAGGATTCGATGTTTGTAGTTCAAATGGCGGATTCGCCCCGATAATGATGTTATGTCCGTCGGTACCAATCCTCACTGGTTTCATGAAAGTGCTAAACATTCTACGACCTGATGTATATTTAATTTCCTCCCATTTTATTCAGGCCGTGATATACTGCTCAAAAGAAGTTAAAGAACACCCGAATCACGACAGCTCAACTTTTGTGATATGAAAGAATACTACAAAAGTGATATTTTGTTATATAAATAAAATATAACTGAACGTAAAATGTGGAGTCAAGCCCACCTTACTAATTGTTACAGTCATTTAAAAGTGCTCCTCCTACTCCTATTACTATGGGGATCTTCAGCAACCCATGTGCTTGCCGTAAAAGGGGACTATGCTTGTCGTAAGAGGCGACTAACGGGATCGGGTGGTCAGGCTCGCTGACTTGGTTGATGCACATCATCGATCCCAATTGCGTGGATCGACGCTCACGATAATCACTGGATTGTCTGCTCAAGACTCGATTAGTTACAGACCGCGGTCATATATTGAATTTTGCTGAGAGCGGCTAAACAACAAACAAACCAAACCAACTACTACGGAGATCGCAGCGGCTAAACAACAAACAAACCAAACCAACTACTACGGAGATCGCAGTATGTTTCTCGTGGGGAGCCATGTTAGAATAGGTCATCAGCACTAGAATAGATTGTTTCGGGTGGTGAGGCTCTGTTACAAGGTTAATTTCTATGTCCCATTACCTGGACGGAGTTTGCTCAAAACAGTACTTGTTTGTTGATAATAAATAGATCATTTACAGGCCACCGTAATATGTATTACCGGACAAAAGAAAGCTATACCAATGCTTGATGGTGGCTAAAAATGAAATGAAACAAGAAATAGTTATTCGATGGTGATGTATTTGATACGGGTATCACATTTATGTTTTGGACATTATGTTTGCAGTGTTTCGGCGACTGTTTTAATCCTAGAAGGTTTTGAGAACATTTGTACTTTTTTGGTTAAATCTAGTATACTTTCATTTGCCGGGCAGTTCAGCTTGATGTTAATAAGCTGCGGCGTAAAACAACAAGCAACGAAATCGTGAATGTTTCTTTCCGCATGAACGTCTTAATGACTTATTCCAATGCCACACCAGATTGAGTACAGTTTCGAGATTTTCTGTCATGGAATCAATTTCCCATGCCCACGTGGCATTGAAAGCTGCCTTGTGCTGTTTG